GACAGCACATTAACTCCCAAACCCCTGTAATTGCAAGCACAACTATTTTCCATTAATGATATTGTGATAAGGAGCTTGTTTTTCTCTTTTAATTTTACATTAAAAATTCCAGTTTAATAAGGAGTTTGGAACATGCAGTTGAGGAGAGAAGCCTGGCTCAGAGCTTGTTGAGTCACAAAAACTGCAAGGACATGTTTCTAGTTGTCTAAGCTCCAGGAGGGAAGAGAATGGAGTTTGGCATGATAACATCAAAATCCCATGTGGAAGAAAGCTTTTTGCTGGATTTGGGCATTCATGGTTTAGACTTTCCTATCTGGTGCTCCCTGTCCTCCCTGCTCATGAGCACATGATTGCTTCTGTGTTCCCTCGCTGGCTGACTGGGTTCAACCATTTGAAAATGGCTCATTTTGTTGCCCTGCTGCTGTGTTATTGTTCATCACTGACCTCACTGGCAGTGATGGCTGGCAGTGTAACTGGGTTAAAAGAGAAATGCTGTGTCCAGCTCTCTAGCACGGCATGCAGGTTTTGCTGCTCCTGACTTTGCAGAGTACCAGTTTGACACCATCTGAGACAAAATTGCACATTATACAGGAGATAAATGTAACATTTTTCTTCATCAGAGTTAGGCCTGTGTGTTCTGCTGCTTCCTGGTGTAAGAAGTCCTTGTTTAATCTGTCAAGGAGATGTGAACAGACTAACCTGGACCAAAGTTCTCACTTATTATTTCTGATGCTATCTAAAACCAGAAAATTAAAAGGTGTGGGTCTCCTTTATTAAAAGGCAAAGGAAGTGGAATTAAGTAAGCAGGTGAGGCAGTGCTCCAGTTTACCTGAAGTTGTGGTTGGGCTTGGAATTACTTCCAGTTTGAATATGAAGTGATAGCCTGCCAATGAAGTGTTTGAAAAGAAAGAGGTTGCTGGGCAGGATAATTAAGTGTGTTTGAAGACCAGATGTGGCCTTCAGCAGCTCTTCTTTTCAATATAGAAAAGAGTAGCACTAAAAGCAGAAGCAGTCTGGCAGCTCAGGCCAAAATGGAGCATTGTGTGTGAGATATATGTTATAGGCTATATTCTAGGCTTCCTCTCCTTTATAAACAATGGAATTTTTGTTTGATTGTTTGTTTGTTTCTCCATTTGTGTTTCATCTCCTGGCAATGTGTAAGCCATCCCTACCTTCATCAGAGTTGATCATTATCCCAGTGTGTAGCAACCCCTGCAAGAAAGGAAGAGGAGTCTCGATCATCTGACAGTGGAGGTTTGACCAGCTTTTGCCTACAGAGTTCCATCTTATTGCTAAAAATGTGTTTTCAGTCCCACTCAGGGGAGCTCTCAGATGCAAAATGAGATGCAAAATACTTTCATTGGTTTGCCAGCTGCTTTCTGTCTTACACTTTTCAGGGAAAGCCATTGATACAGCCCCATCTCCACCTCCCTGTGTCCTGCAGGCAAACACTGTGCAAAGCTCTGAGCCAGGCTTTGATGTTTCTGGTAGGGCCTGGTGTGGATTATCTTGTACAGCCTTATTGAGGGAAATGGGAGTGAGTTTTCAGCCTGCCTCAGCCCTGCCTGTCCCATTCTCCATGATGTAGGCTGGAACACACAGGAGTATCTCTGTTTACTGGATGCTAAGCACTAACTTACTAATATTTGCCTTCTGCCCCCAGCTGGAGGCTGGTGATTTAAGGTACCTTAACAAAATGTGACTGAAGCCATAGGATTGTGATCATATGGAGAAAATCCGTTTAGTGCCTTTTTTTGTATCTGTTTCTAATACAGCACTTGGAGTAAGAGCAAGATGTTTGAACATAAGCAATAAACTGTGATGAGTGTGACACTGTGTCTGTGTATAACTTGCAAGGTGGTATAAAGAGGTGCTGAAGGAGGGAGAATTCTTCTCATCTCTGGATTTTATGAAGGGTGACACTCTTAAAGAGACATTGCCTGTGAGTGGGTTCTAGAACTTTCCTTTTGCAGTACCAAATTGGCAGCTAGATTCATCCAGTTAATTTAGAATCACAATCTTCAGCTTCAAAAACATTGGGAAATATGTATCAGGTGAAACAGCATCCTTAGAATGCCCTGAAACAAGGAGGTGTTTTGGGAATTGCCATCAGCTGCCTTTGAGTACCAGCAGTGAGGGCTGGAGCCTTATGGCCACTATAGGCACAGCTGGGTGAAAGGGACAGGGCCACCTGCATTTCAGTATCTTATAAACAGCTTTTCATTTGGATGGTCATGGCTTAATGACAAATGCCAGTTCAGGCAGGGAACAAAGGGTGACATCTCGGGCAGAGGTGGTGAGTGATGGAGCGAGGATAACTGAGCTCACTGTTAGCTCCTACCCCCTGCAGGGAGAGTTTTGCAAACTTGGAAGCTCCAAAATGTCAGATCCTGAACAATGTATAAAGCATGGCATTCAGGAGTGCTTTAGCAAGAGTTTCCTTCTGGATTAGTGGCCTCATGCACATTTTGTAATGGAAACAGTAGGAGAGTGGTCATCTTCTCTTCTGCTTACAGACAAGGCCTTCCTAACATTAACATTGCTTGCCATGACATTGCAAGGAATTTGTGAGCCATTGGGGATTCCCAGGTGAGCATCAAGAGCAGGCAAAGGTTAAAAACCAGCATCTCCAGGGAGATACCAAATAAAGCAGTTCTGTAGAGGAAGTGTCACTAGGGGAGGGTGTGAGTAGTTTTCCAAGTGTCTAAAAGCTTTTCTGCCTAGAGCAAGGCAACAAATCAGTCTCCAGATCCAGAAGATCATATTACCACAAAGAATTAAATCACAACTTTTTCTTTTTTTTTTAACTGAAAGTAAAATAAAAATCTAAATAGCATGCCTAGGAGGGCATCCTTAAAAAGAGACTGGGCAGACATCTATCAGCAGTGGTTATGGGGTAGCTGATCCTGCATGGAAATGAATCAGATACTTCTCCAGCCCCTTCCCAGACCAAAGTATAAAGGTGCCTTGCAGGGCTTTGTGGATCTGGCTCATCCCCTCACCATGGTATATTAATGAGTACTGAGCAGACTGCAGAGTCAGGGCTGTGAAATGCTTCCCTACACCCCGTGGATCTGTGAGCTCTAAACATTGCCTGCAGGAGCACAGGGGGTGTTCCTGGTGGAAGCTGGAGTGTGGGGCAGGGAGGCCGTGGTACCTTTGCCCTGCAGAGCTGGGGCTGGCACAGCCTTTGCCCCAGAGGAAGGGGAGGGGATGAGCACAGGCATTAGTAGGGCAAGGGCTGTGTTGGCTCCTGACTCCAGCCAAGGCAGGGAGGAGGTTGCTGTGCCCTCTGCACTTTCAGCCAGGCCAGCAGGGCTGGAAAAAATCTCAGTGCCAAGAGAGCAAACTTTCAAGCAGGCTGGTGCCCTTTGTCCCTCTGTCTCAAGGGCATTGGCTGACCCCAGCACCAGCTGGAGGCAGCCCAGCACATTCATGTGCCTCTGTACCCAGCCAGCAAGGCAGGCACAGCCCCGGGCTATGAGCACACTCTGGGCTCTTTGGGAAGCAAAGGAGGATTTTCTTTCCATCTGTGGCTTTCCCATGCCCCAGAGAAGCCTCCCACCCCCATGTAGGAGCAGTGCAGCCACAAACAGGGAGCATGGAGCCGTGTTGGGTGCTCTCCTCCCTGTGCTGAATGGGAGTGCTGGGCAGCTGTGGGCATGGTGAGCCACATGCCAAGGGGCTCCCTGCCTCACCAGCTGATCCAGGACACACGGCAGCCCTGGACTTCTCATCTGCACTGATCTCCCTGATTATTGCCTTGTGCTCTGGCATTTGTCCTCTTTCCACCACACTGTCCTGCTCTCATCAGTGTGGCTCATCTGTAGTCAATAACCAAAACTTGGCATAGCCCCACACAGGTGGTGTTTTCTTCTTTTCAATCAGTACCACAAATGGATTTGTTAATGATGGTGAGTCCTCAGTGTGCCTCCTGTGCACTGAGGCCATGGAAGAGCAGCATTTTAGTGAGGGCACTGCTGGCTGGTCAATGAGGGCAGTGGTTCCTCTACAAAGCATTTGTGAATCCACATTTGGGGGAACCACGACTTGCTTTGGTTCCACCATCACAGAGACATCTTGAATAGTCTGCCAGAAGATCAGTGAGAGTGTAGGGCATTCAGGGGCATGGAACACAGGCTGCACCAGCACCAAGTAGGGCACAAACTCTGCTCAGAGGTGCACAAAGCAAATAGATGTCAGGTACAACAAAGAAAATTCCAGCTGGACATTAGGAAAAAATAGTTTAACCATTAGTATGGTTAGCACAGGAAATGGGCCCCAGGGAGAGGGGAATCCTCTCACTGGAAGTTTTTAAGTCTGGACCAGACCTAGAGCAGCCTGATCTGGCTTTGAGGGTAGCCCTGCTTTGAGCAGGAGTTGAATGAGGTGTTCTTCAGAGATCACTTCCCAACTGATCTTTTTGTCCATCTACCCCAACTGTCTAAAGCTTTCCTAATGTAGTGTCTGCCCTTGACCCTCAGCTAAAGCCTCCTCACCAAAAGCCTCATGAATCATCTTAGAAATTGCAGACCTGGCCAAACCAGATTGCTTCAAGCAGAATATGTCCCCCACATCTGCCTTCTGCTCCTTGTGCCCAGTGAACTCTCCTGAGGAGAAGCCATGTTCTTGGTCTGTTAGGTTTCCCAGCAGGATCATACCCTGGTCCATGAGGAGGCATAGCAGGGCTTACAGAGATACAGGAAGGTTTTAATCTCTTAGAAAACCCTGACTCTTCACCTTCTCCCTGTCTGCTCAGGATCTGTTGCTTTTGAGGTGGTGAGGTCCCAGGGCAGCTTCCTCTCATCTTCTGTGGCAGTGTGGTGTTAGACCCTGGAACGTTTCACACATGCTGTGGCTTCTGGGCTCTGCAGGGAGGGCAGCAGAGGGGATTTTCTGCCGTCATCTGTTCCCAATTACGGTGGTTTCAGGGAGCTCCTTGGCCCGTTTCCACCACAATCCCTCAGCTCCCGAGCCCACGCAACTGGGAGGTGGGGCCTCGTGGTGGTGGTAGTGGCCAGAGCACGGTGCATCACCCTCACAGGACCAGGGTGAAGGGACAGTGCAGACACCACTCTCTGCTCCTGCTCTGCTGGGGACAGGCTGGCCCTCGGTGAGTAGTCTGTGCCCACTGGCTGCTTCAGTGGGACCAGGCAGTAAGAGCAGGGATCATCCATTCTCTCTAGATTTCTAGAATTTCATCTGCTGCTAAGAAAAAGGGGTCTGTGCTGGGGCTGGAGCTGTGTTTTCACCAGGATGAGTGCTGGCATTATGAGCAGCAGACATGTGCAAGGGGGATGCTGAACTCAGCTGGACATCTCACCATATTCCTGTCCCCCACTCTTCTATCTGCTCCTGTCCTGCCTTCTTATCCCTTCTCAGCCAGAGTCTGTTCTCATGCACATCTGTTAGCATCCTGGTTGCTCTGAGTTTGCTTTGCCAGCATACTTTATCCTGCCCTTACCATAACTTCTCCAAACCAAATGCCTCTCAACTAATTTTTTTGGATCTTTGGGTGTTAAGGCACACAAGCAGGGCATGGCTGCATGGAGGCTTTGTTTTTACAGTTTAACTGGTAAAAAGTCAAATGTTGGGCAATGCCACCTCCATTGCAGCCACGGGAGGTGTGTGTCAGCCCAGCTGCTGTGCTTGGGGGTGCAGGAGTGAGGGGGGAGCCCAAGCCCAGCCCTGCTTTCAGGCAGAGTCTGCGGTTCCCAACTTTGCTTTGCAGGTGCATGCGCCACAATGACGGTGAAGAAGACCCAGGCTCTGCAGGATGGAAGTGCCAAGGTGGGTGCAGGGAAAGGGAGAGAAAAAAGGGCAGAGATGTGCCAAGGGGGCCAGGTAGTGTGTATTGACTGTGCTGGATGAATACCAGCCACACCTCGTGCTGTCTCACATGTCCCATGCTCTCTTTATATGGATCTTTACCTGCAGTAGTATGGAGCATCACCAAAGGGAAAGGACAAACCTTTATTCTTGCTTGAAATTCAATAGTTCGGATTCAAAAAAGTTAATCTACAAGCACTAAGTGATAGCTGCCAGCTGTGTCTGTCCTTCATCTGTGCCCCATTTAGTCCCCAGACCTCCAGCATGAAGGTTTCCACAGGGTGGAAAGCCAGAGGGAGCATCTGAACAGTTGGGCTTGGGATATTGGAGGAGTGGAGACCAACCCCCATGGACACTGCCTGCAGTGTCCCTGCTCCCTCAGTGGCAGCAGCCAGCCTGCCTGTCCCTACTCAGCACACCTGGCAGACCCTCAGTGGGGCTGGAGAAACAGCCTCCTCCTCTTCCCGTGCAAGCCGAGCTCCTCTGGCCACTGCAACCCACCGAGAGCCAGCGGTGTGCGGGCAATGGGGCTCTCCCAGGGAAGGGCTGTGGGCTCAGCCATGCCCATCTCCTCACCCTGCAGGAGAACGTGCTGCAGAGGGTGCTGCAGCTGCCCGTGGTGAGCTCCACGTGCCAGACGCTGCAGCGCAAGTACAGCAGCACCAAGGAGTCGCACCCGCTGATGGCCTCGGTGTGCGAGGTGTACGAGCGCGGCGTGCAGGGCGCCGGCGCCCTGGCCATGTGGGGCATGGAGCCCGTGGTGCGCCGGCTGGAGCCGCAGTGTGAGTCCGTGTGCCGGGGGGACGTGCCAGGGGGGCCCAGCAGAGCTTCCCCTGGTGGGGCAGCGCTGGCACAAGCACGTGCCTGGCACGGCCCAGGGGTTTTTCTTACCCTGTGCTTTTGCCCGAGGCAGTCGCTGTGGCCAACAACCTGGCTTGCCGGGGCTTGGACCACCTAGAGGAGAAGATCCCTGCTCTCCAGTACCCTGTTGACAAGGTAAGTCACAGGCAGGACGATGTGGGACCCCCCAGACCCTCTGAAAAGCCCACAGTACATCTCCTCTAGTCTTGTTTCTGGATGGTGACAGGCTGCTGGCTGGGAAACAAGGCAGCATCTCCAAGTGAGGGCTCCTCCAAGGGCCTCTGCAGCCTAAACGATGGTTGGGGCTCCCAAATACAAGTCAGCAATGTCCTGTGTCCCATCCCTGCCAGCTACCTCCAGACCAGGTTGGAGAGAGCTGTTATGCCCCTCTTGGAGCTGTTTACTGGCATGGACGTGGCTGGGGTCCCTGCGGTTCCTCTGGCTGTCCTATGCCATCCCAAGCACACCAGGGGGGCTGTTCTCCATCTCTCTGCCCACAGCTCGCATCTGAACTGAAGGACACCATCTCCTGCCCCATCCAAAGTGCCAAAAGCACCATTGGCAGCTCCATGGATAAGATCATCGAGCTGGCGGCGGAGGGCTATGAGGCCACCAAGAGCACGGTGGAAACGACAGCCAAGTACACAAGGAAGAACTCAGTGACCCAGATGGCAGCTGCAGGGGTCGACACAGCCCTGGGAGGGCTGGAGAAGCTGATGGAATACCTGCTGCCAGAGGAGGATGAAGAAGCAGGTAGTCCTGATGTCCGAATCCCCTCTGAGGGAGTCTGGGGTTAACTGGCTGGGTGGCTCCTCAGTTTGGGGTGCATGGGGCAGGAGGCAGCCCCTGGATTTTGGCATGAGTCTGCCTAGGAGGGTGGTCCCACCAGAATGTAACCTTCACACCATTCTTCTGCCTGTACTCTTCCACCTTTAGATAAGAAGCCCAAAAAGAAACGTCTGTCAACACCAAAGGTGTCCCAGCAGCAGCCCAGCACTACCACTGCTCCCAGTGCTCCCAGTGCTACCAGGGCTCCCAGTGCTCCCAGTGCTACCAAGGCTCCCAGTGCTCCCAGTGGTACCAGTGCTACCAGGGCTCCCAGTGCTCCCAGTGCTACCAAGGCTCCCAGTGCTCCCAGTGGTACCAGTGCTACCAGGGCTCCCAGTGCTCCCAGGGCTCCCAGTGCTCCCAGGGCATACAGCACAACCAGCACTGCCAGCACTGCCAGCACTGCCAGCACTCCCAGTGCTCCCAGTGCTCCCAGCACCCTGGGCCGGATTGGTGCTTTGGTCAGCACCGTGTCCCACCGCGCTTACCAGCAAACCACCCAAAGCCTCCAGCGTGCCAAAACCAAAGGGCAGGAGCTGGCCTCCTGGATCCCCATCCTGGTGAGTGCCAGAACCCACCTGCTGCTCCCCCATATCCTCTTTTGGGCTGATTTTGCTTTCAGACAGGACATTTCAGGCTCCTTGGAGCAAATCTGAGCAGAGTTCACTTCCCCTGCTCAGCAGGACAAGCTGGAGCTAGCAGTTCCTGCGTGATGTTCACACATAACCATGTACCACATTGGTGGGACAAGTTATTTTCAGCAGGTTCCCAGCATGTAATTGTTGATTTATGGCCTTGCCATAACATCCTCCCTAAAGCAAAAAGCCCCTGCAGAGACCCAGAGGGGATGGGGAGAAGGAGGTACTTTTCCTGCTCTATGCTGCAGTGGGAACAACTTCCCTGGCCTGTGCCACAATCCCAGAGCTCCCATCTGCCCTCAGGATTTCTCCCAAGATGTACAAACAAACTCCCTGTGTACCTCAGGCTAAAGAGGACGGAGTGGATGGGACCAGCCAGCCCCCTCTGAGTGGTGCCTTTTGCTCCCCTTGCAGGGAAGCCTGGCCAAGCCCAGTGCCCCTGCGGCCCCTCAGGCCCGCAGCGATGGGCAGGGCAGCACGGGCTGGCTGACCCGGAGAGCCAGCAAGGCACCGGAGCAGAAGCAGGAGAAGGCAGGCAAGAAAGACACCAACCCCGCCAAGGTATGGAGACAAGCAGAGCAGGGAGCTAGGAATGCTCCAAAGCATCCTCCTCCACATGGACCGTGGAAGCTGTCCCCCATACCTTTGGGGACCAGGCCCCTATCCCTGCTCAATCCTGAAATGCAGCTTGGAGGATGCAAGAGGGGATTGGCAGTGGGGCAGCCCCAGGAGTCCCCTTTTTCCCAAAGCTGGGAGCTGTGGGCAGCCTCTCTGACTGGCAAAATCACGGGTTGGCAGTGGGGCAGCCCCAGGAGTCGCCTTCCCTTTCCCCAAAGCTGGGAGCTGTGGGCAGCCTCTCTGACTGGCAAAATCACCCTGGCTTGTATGTTCAAAACTCCTTTGGAGCTGTGGGATGTCAGCACTGAACTCCCTATTGAAGCTCTGAACGACCCTGAAAAATCCCCAGCCGTGGTCCCAGCAGGGAGGGGTGCTCTGAGCCGGTGGGGCTGGGAACAGTCTCCTGCATGGGCTCCGCTGGGACCTGGGGACGGGAAGCAGCAGGTTGGGGTCAGTGCCCTTTGCCTCTGCCTGCAGCGGAAGCACAGCCTCGAGCGAGGGTCCCCCGGGGCCCGCAGTGGGGGGAGCTGGCAGGGACAGGGACAGACCCTGCTGCAAAGGGCTGCGGTGGCTTTTGCAGAGCAGCAAGCTGAAACCTCTCAGGCTTAGAGCTGGGGAAACCAGGGCCACCCCTGTCCTGCCTGGAGGTGGGGCAGCTCCAGAGCTGATATGGTTTCTCTGGGCAGGCGGCACAGGACCCCGGGCTCGTGGGCAGCGTGGCTCACAACCTGCAAACCGCCTGCGCCTCGGGCATCTCCAGCGTGAAGAAGGTCCCAGCCGTGGCCTGGGATGCGGCAGAGGGCTTGATCCTCTTCACCCCCCGCAGGCTGTCCAGGGCCATGGAGACTGTGGATGCTCTCGGGGGGACCCTCGTCAGTGCCCCTAAGCATCTGCTGGGCACCCTGTACAGCTACGTGCCGGTGAGTTTGCCCCCAGCCAGGCCCTGTTCAACTCCAGCAAACCTCATTTTGCTAAATCTCCTGCCGTGAGCACCCCACAGCTGCAGGCAATGTCAGGGGGGACCACACTGGGGAGATGGGGTGCCATGAAGACACCTCAGTCCCACCCTCCTCTTGAGCATCCCCAAAGCCATGACAGTGAGTGCCCCAATAGAATAAATAAGTCAGATAGCAGTGACACCTTCACACAGTTCATGCCCAAGCCAAGGTGTGACCACATTCCTGGGAAGGTGAAAGTTCAGGCTGAGACCCTGTTCTCCCTCCTTTACCTCAGCCTGTTGTTCCCCTGGGAGCATTTCTCCACCACAGCTGCTCAAGCCACCCACGCCTCTCTACTCTGGGCACAAACTGGCTTCTCCTGAGGTTCTCCCAGTTTAAGGGGGGCTGTGTAGCACCGGTGGAGCAGGGCTGGCAGCTGGCTGGGTGCTCACCCCATCTCTCAGCTCCGCAGGCAGTCGGTGAAGGAAGAAGAAGCATCCAGGAGCACCAAGACCAACGCAGAGAAAAAAGAGAAGAAGGAGAAGGAGGAGGAGGAGGAGGAGACCAAGCCTGCTGCCCCCTCCAGTGAGGAGAAATCCCAGCTGAGGGGTGACTGGCGGCTGTACCGCGGCCATCACCCCCTCTCCTTCCTGGGGCTCGAGGACCCCCTCTTCCTGCGGCACAGCTACTACCGCAGCCCTGCCTTCGACCCCGACTACCCCTTCCCGCGGAAATCCGCCTTCTCCCCCTACAACCGGCGGGTGAGCGAGGGCTCCTACCGCTTCAGCCCCGAGTCCATGTACGGCCGGGCCTACTACGGCAACCTGTACACTCCTGTCTTCAAGAAGGACTGAGCCAGCGGGCGGGACAAGCACATCCCAGCCCCTCTCAAACCCCCTCAGCACGCTTTGCCTGGGCCCCTGCCAGCTTCCCACACATACCCCTGTTCCAGGACGGGAGCTTAAAGTGGTAGACAGGCCATGGGATAGCTTGTTCTGGAGTGCATCAAGGCCAGGATGGGGGAATAAAGGCAACCAAAAGCCCTGCTGCTGGAAGGAGAAGGTAGGGGAAGGTGGGACTAGGAAGGTGAAGGAGATGTGGAAAGAGCGGTGAGACCAGAAGGGACCAGCCAGGGCTGGCACTGGGCTATCTTGGACCCTGCTCAGCAGACAGGGTGAACTTAGATGGGCTACACATTGAGAGTGAGAGGGGAGGATGGCAAAGCTGTCAAACATCACCATAGCAAGCCTGCTTCCCCATCCTTCCTCCCTCCATCCCCCCTTGCAGGCCCCATCCCTAGGCACAGATGGCTCTTCCATGGAGGGGCTGAAGATCCCCACCAACCAGCAGGATTCATGAGTGGGAAAGCCCTGGGCACTTCTCTCCCAGCTGGTAGTGGGATGGATGGTGGGGTCAGGAAAAAGAACAGGTGGAGCTCCTGGAGCCCCTCTCCCACAGGATCACCTGGCTTCCCACAACACCTTGTTGTATCTGCTGCAATAATAAACCTGCAATAATAAATCACCTGCCTCTCACCCCATCTGCTCAGCTTCTTTGTGGCAGTGAGACACCAAACCAGGGGAACACAGTGGGGTGAGACCCCAGCTCAGGGCCAAGGGAGTGGGTGCAGGAAGAGTCCTGTTACATTCCCTGTGGGTAGCTGCCCCTGGGAGAGTGGGTGCTCATGCCCAGCACTGTACGTGTCTCTTCCCATGCCCCAAGTACAAACTCACAGCTCCAAGGAGCCGGGGCTTCCTGCCAAAGACAATTTATTGCATTTCCAGAAGAACACAGCAGAGAAATCAGTGTCCCTACAGCACGCACAAACCCTTTTCCAATACACTGCTTTCCCAGGGCACAAAGAGAAGGGCTTGGGAGAGGCAGGGAAAAGCCTCCCAGCAGCAGAGGATTCAGCGAGGAGCCCAGCGACCCCTTTCCCCACCTCCTTTCCTCCCCGGGGACAGGCAGCCCGACAGAAGGAGTGGCTTGGGAAGGCGGTGGTGCAATTCCCATCCTGGGAACGAGCCCCGCGCCTGGCTTTTCCCAGGCACAGCCTGTACAGCGCTGTACAGCACAAGGGAAGCGGCTGTGATGGCTGAAAGGCTGTGGGGGAGAGGGCCCTGAGCACGGCTGGGGGATGGGAGGCACCAGCCCTCACCAAAGTGCTCCAGGATGGCCGGTGCCTGGGCTCTGGAGAGTGAAACACAGGCGGGAGCTACCAGTGCCTCCCCGGCGGAGAAAGCCCCACCTCTCCAGCTCATGGGTGCTCCAGGGTTACTGAAGAGGATCCTGATGAGGGTTAAACAGGAATAAGGATCCCAGAGTAGGAGTGGAGAGACAGGGAGTCGTGTACAAGAGCAGGATATCCTCCCTAATCGCTGACAGCCTGGGCAGCTCCTGCTGCAGGAGCTAGGGATGCTGCTGCCTGCAGCTTTGGCAAAACCCCCCCGTGGTTTCCAGTGTTGGAGGATGGAAGGAGAAAGCAGGAGGCACCTAAAGAGCTGGTACAGCAAAGACATGAGACTGTCCCACGGCAGAGCCAAGACCAACCCACTACAGTCCTCAGCTGGAGTGACTGTGCATGGCAGGACACCCAGACCCTGGCACTAGGAGGACAGCAAGGAACCCGTCATACTTATGGAAAGACACACACCGTCTCCACGGGCACCCAGCGAGGTGGCCTGGCCCAGCTGGGCAGCAGAGAAAGCAGCCACACCCGTGCAGGAGCTCAGAGGGAGTCTGTTCGCTTTCGGCCAAACACAGCCGACATGGTCTTGACGATGCCACGGATCCCTGTGCCCTTCTTCAGGGCCAGCTTGGTGTCTGGGATGAGCTTGGCCAGTCCATGGAAGACCATGAGGGCCCCGTGATAAGCCTCAGCTGCAGAGACCTCATAGAAACCACAGTCTAAAGAGAGGGCCAGCAGCCGCCCCTCCTCGCTGGACACCACCCGTTGGTGGTGCAGGTCCCGTTTGTTGCCCACAATGACAATGGGCACCTTCTCCTGGCTCTGCCCCTCCTTGGCAGCCTTGATGAACTGGATTTTGAGGGGCAGGATGTTGAAGCTGGCACGGTCACAGATGCTGTAGACCAGGACAAAGCTGTCTGCCCACTGGATTCGCTTCTCCTCTGAGGAGCCATCCTCTGCCTGCTCCTGGGGAAAGAGAAAAGGAAGGGTTGTTTTACTGGGCTCCCTCCCTCCAGGCCTGCCTGATTGAAGAGGGCAATCCTGAGCCTGTCGGGGCAGGGACAGCTAGAGAACAACAAAAGGGCAGAGAGAAGGAGGAGTACCAAGGAGGGCAGAGCAGCACCTGGCAGAACTAACCAAGGGGGGATGATTCAGCTTTCAGCATCACACCCTAATCCTAACCCTCACCCAGCTGCCAAGCACTGCAGGCTGTAGCTGATAACAGTGCAGGGAGCTCAGAGCAGCACCTCTACCTCTTTAACACAGTCCTCTATTAGCATCAGAGTTTCAGCTCCAGAAGGCCATGGGCTATGGTAACTATTGCTACCCTGTCAGCAGCATTGCTGTCTGGTGCTTAGCAGATTAGAAGAGTTCAGCCACTTATGAACCCTCTGATTTGAAAGCCTTGCTCAACTGGACCTCCCAGTCTGTGGTTCCCCATAGGTAACTTCCAGTAAAGGAATTTTTTGTCCTTGGGGTAGAAATGGGTGATAGGAGTGGAGCCCTCTCACCTGGGAATTGGGGACGTCCCAGATGTGTAAGAGAATCTCTCGGCCATCCACAGTCAGGTTGTGGCTGTAGATGAATTCTGTGTCCCCAAAAAGAAAAAAAATAGTCATCTTCATGGTATCACCAGCTCCCACCCTGGACCTTTTGCACCCCAGAGAAGCAGCTCTGGAGCAAAGAGATGTGTCACTGAACAAATACAACACTGAGCCCCTGAGAGCAGGCAAATGCTTTGGAGAAAGGCAGGAGAGGATGCGCTGCAATGAAACCCCACAGGCAGAAGCAGGGTTGTCCCTCGACCCCAGTCTGTGCTGGGAACTGCCTGGCCCTGGCCTGGCACTCACCCATGTCTCCGTACTCTCCAATAAAGCGCCGGGTCAGGAAACGCACGGTCAGAGCTGCAGACGGAAGGACAGGAGTCATCAGAATAACCCAAAACCTGGAGGATTCTCCTTTCTAAATCCAGAGCAGAGTCAGGCACCATGCCCTTGCAAACTCCTACAAGCAGCAACGACCTCTGAGTTTCCCCAGCCACCAGCAGGTCTGTGAGTGCAGCAGAGGCACAGCACGAATCAAAGCATCTGCACGATCCGGAGCATCAGCAAACTGCAGCTCAGTGGAAAATACCTTCCCCTCTCATTCCCCAGCTGGCTACAAGGTTGTGCTCAGCTTCCCCACCTTGAACCACAGCAGCACCCCAGGGCTCAGCCCCATCTCACCAATTTGCTCCCCACCACCGGCTCTCTCCAAACACCGCTGCAGTTTTCAGCCTGCGAACCCCCTGTTCCAGCTCACGGCCAGCTCTCACCTGATTTCCCCACGTTGTCTGCTCCCATGACAAGGACGTTTGCTTCCATCTTCAGCGGGGCAGCGGGGCCCGGCACCTCCATGAGGGCAGGGTGGTCGGGGGTGAAGCTGGTGCTGCGGCGCAGCGGGAGCCGGAGCCCCATGCCGAGCGCGGCCGAGCCCCTCGCCCGCTCCCAGCCCTGTGCGCGACCCGGCTCGGCACAGCCGACAGCCCAGCGCTTCCCACGGCACCCAGGGGACCCACGGGGCCCATACCCCTCCCCGCAGCCGCAGGGGCGGTGCGGAGGGAGCTGCAGGCAGCCGGATGAAAAACTTTGTCATCGCTCAGATTGTCCTGGACATACGTCAGCGGCTGAGCCGGCCCTGCCAGCCCCCGGCGCGGCGGGCGGCCGGCAAGCACCAGCTGCCGGCACCGGCTGCTCCGGAGCTGCATCCCGGGAGCTGCCCACGCCCCCAGCCCAAAGCGCTCTGTGCCCTGCCAGGGCCACGCAGCCCCTTGTCCCTGCCCCGGGGTGACAGTGGGAATGTCAGCCGGGAGTGGAGCAGTGCCACCGGCGCTGCGCTGTCTCCTCAGGGATGAAGCAGGGATGAGAGACGCGAGTCCCCCGCGACTGACGGAGCCTCTCACGGCTGGGGGAACTCTGATTCACCAGCGATGGAGCACCGCGGTTAACGGAGCGCTGCCTCGCACGTGACGAAGCATCCCCCGAGGGACGGAATCCCCTGCGAGTGAGTGACGGAGCACCCCAAGAGTGATGGAGCACCCCGAGAGTGATGGAGCAGCCCAAGAGTGACGGAGCACCCCAAGAGTGATGGAGCATCCCAAGAGTGATGGAGCATCCCAAGAGTGACGGAGCAGCCCAAGAGTGACGGAGCACCCCAAGAGTGACGGAGCACCCCAAGAGTGACGGAGCATCCCAAGAGTGACGGAGCACCCCAAGAGTGACGGAGCATCCCAAGAGTGACGGAGCAGCCCAAGAGTGATGGAGCATCCCAAGAGTGATGGAGTTTCCCTGGAGCACCGGGGAGCGGCCGCGCAGCTCCCGCAGCCGCGGGCGTCCCCCCGCTCCCCCCGGCCGCTCTCCGCGGGGCGCAGCGAGGACCGGCCGCATCCTCCCGGCCCTCCGCATCCTCCTCCCGGCCCTCCGCATCCTCCTCCCCCGCGGCCGGCCGGGAGGAGCCGCTGACGCCATCGCGGCGCGCCGGGCGCGGCCATGGCGGCGGAGGCGGCGGTGGTGCGGGTGGCGGTGCGGGTGCGGCCGCTGCTGCCCCGCGAGGCGCTGCGGGGACACCGGCCCTGCCTGCGGAGCGATGCCGCCACCGGCGAGGTGGCGCTGGGCCGCCGCCGGTTCC